TAAATATGAAAGTGTTTCTGTAGTACCGTGTGATACAATTGTAAAGAACTAAGTTTGCACACAATTTAATAGAAAATACCGTACTTGAGAGATAAATATACGTAGAATAAAAAGTACTAATAAGAATAAAGCAAATGTCCAACGCGATATTACATGAGGAGTCCATAGATCTAGGTATCTTTGATATATCTGAAATGGAAGAAAAAGAGATTTTATAAATTATAGTATGGTATTTTAATAGAAGAAAATATAAAACTGAATAATTGTGTGTATATTATATAAAATATTAAATATTATATATATATAGTTAAATATTAAATATTATATAGATAAAGTGTTTATATAAAGGATTATAAACTCATATTAACCTGTGATATTCTTATTATCCCTTGACTGAAAATATTTTTTCTCACTGAGCTACCCAAGTCTTCATCCTGCATCATTTTCTCTCACTGCAAACATAAGACTTTATTGCAATTAAATGTAAATTAATATGAACCAAAGTAGCCCTGCAAAATGTTATTTATAAAAATCAACTTTGTTGCACATATATACAATAAATATATTGTATACAAATAGTAAAAAATTAATTATATAAATAATATTCATAAAAATTGATTTATATATCAATTAACATTGTCTATCAAACTCGGATAGGATTTTTTTTTCTTCTCTATGAAAAAAAATATACCTATCATGTTGTAAACAAATTTTGTAAGTAGAAATGAAAGTCTTTAAAGATTATCCCCGACGTATCTTCCTGTTTATATAGCCGTTAAATATAATTTCTTATAAATGTTAAGTGATATACTCATGCTTTGTTACAATTGATATTGACATCATTCTGAATCGAATTTATAGCAATTACACTCGTTTCAAATATCCATCTTGGGATCGAGCGAGTGAAGAGTGAAAACTCTTCTCGAGGAGAATCGAGTCGTCGTTGCAATAATCCTTTAATGCAAATTCAAGGTTGTGTGAGGTTGCGATCGAGCTGTCGCGTCGATTCACCGACAAATTCACCGTGCATAGAGACGAGAGTGCAACCACGATGCATCATGGACTATATAGATGACTAGACTTAATAAACGATCAGACTTAATTCTAAACCAAACAAAAAGAAAATCCTCGTCGCGATATTTATTGATACCTATTTTAATCACGAGAGAAGCAGCGATTCCGGTCATACCAAGTGACATGGCATGGTAGACCATGACATGCTACGTTAACCTAACCCTAACCTCTCAAATTTTACAGTACGGTGAAATATCGAACAATCTCGAGAACGCGTCGCATGATTATTTACCTGCAATATTTTTTGCGTCGTCTTTTCCACCGCGAATAACACCAACCTTACGCCGAATAATTTAAAAAAAATAGATATATATATACATAAATATATAACACGTCACATCAAAAGCACACTATTTAGACGTTCCATAGAGCAATACAGAATTGGCAAAAATTTTACGAGGACAGAGGAATGACGAGGAAGGCGCCACGACGGTCCGTAATCGCGACACGACACGACCAACTGACGACCGCAACGCGACCACCCCCCCGTAACGTAAAACGTAACCTGTAACTTACCAGCAGTACCAGCAGAGAAACCTGAGAGAGGACATGAGACATGAGGACCTTTTTCTCACAAACTATTGCCCAGCGCACTACTGCCCTCTAAAGATAGTAATATTCACTTTTTTGTATCAGGAGGTCGATTCTGTATCTTCAAACAAGGTGAAAATGACAAAAGTGAGCAAACATACTAGATGTTGACCAATGAAATTGTCAATATTCTAGTAAATTCGCTCACTTTTATAATTTTCACCTCGTTTCGAGATACAGAATCGATCTCCAGTAGCAGGATCCTCTGAACGTCTTATGGCCCCGGCACACCAGCGCGATGTTCGTCGCGCGCGTCACGCGAAATCCAATGAGAGTATGGCCCTGTGCACAATGGAGGAAATATTAGGAACAGGAATAGATATTAAGATTTCAACCTATCAGAAACCGTCTATTCCGATGCAACTGGTATCTGATAGGTTAAAATTTTAATATCTATTTCTGTTCCTAATATTTCCTCCATTGTGCGCAGGGCCTATATCTTTAGAATGAGAACATCGGTAAAGCTGTACACTCATTGGACATCGCGTGTCGTGCGCGACAAACATCGCGTTGGTGTGCCGGAGGCATTATGGCGCGATCCCAAGGTGCGGAATTGACGCATGTAGAATTGGCGGAACGTTCGTGATTGGTCGTAGCTTCATTCCGCCGATTCCGTCGTTTTCTGTTGCGCAAATTTATTTCTTTCGCGGATTCCGCCGATGCATGCGTATGTGCGTGTGCACGTACACCCACGGTAATTGATTCTGTCCCTCGGAAATTTTCACAAAATGAGAAATGACCACCGTATCCGGGTGTCATATCATCCTTATTTAACGTTCGATAATTGTTTGTGGGAATAATGTGTTCCGACAAATAACGAAATCCGTATTTTTAATGACAAACAAATAAAACTTTATTTTGTGAGAGGTTTACAAAGCTCACTTGTCTCTTCAACAAGAAAAAGTAAAGAATTACAATCATGGAGAACATTTGTCTCCCTTGAACTTAAAATAATCTAGAGAGGGTACAAACATGGTATAAGGATAAGGATATGCTCACGCGCATGCGACCAATCAAAATTGTCGAAGTGTGACGTCACACAACAAGCGGTAAATTTAAAACTGCTGTTTCCAACCAACTTATGTTAGCAGCATTCTCGTCAGATATTTTATTTTGATTTAAAGTTTACAGGAAAAAATACGTTTTGAAATAATTTAAGAACTAATGAATATCCTGTAACAAAATGTAACATAAGTAAACATTACAAACTCAATAAAGATAGAAGAATTTATTATGAAATTTATTATCTTA